CAGTGACCAGTCTGTAATAAGCAAGCATGTGCTAACATGACCAGTGTCCAGTCTGTAATAAGTCAACATGTGCCTAACTTGGGAAGTGACCAGTCTGTAATAAGCAAGCATGTGCTAACATGACCAGTGTCCAGTCTGTAATGAGCAAGCATGTGCTAACATGACCAGTGACCAGTCTGTAATAAGCCAACATGTGTCTAACTTGGCAAGTGACCAGTCAGTTATAAGCCAACATGTGCTAACATGACCAGTGTCCAGTCTGTAATAAGTCAACATGTGCCGAACTTGGGAAGTGACCAGTCTGTAATAAGCAAGCATGTGCTAACATGACCAGTGTCCAGTCTGTAATAAGCAAGCATGTGCTAACATGACCAGTGACCAGTCTGTAATAAGTTAACATGTGTCAAACTTGGCAAGTGACCAGTCTGTAATAAGCCAACATGTGTCTAAAACAACCAGTGACCAGTCTGTAACAAGCAAGCATGTGCTAACATGACCAGTGACCAGTCTGTAATAAGCAAGCATGTGCTAACATGACCAGTGTCTTATCTGTAATAAGTCAACATGTGCCTAACTTGGGAAGTGACCAGTCTGTAATAAGCAAGCATGTGCTAACATGACCAGTGTCCAGTCTGTAATAAGCAAGCATGTGCTAACATGACCAGTGACCAGTCTGTAATAAGCCAACATGTGTCTAACTTGGGAAGTGACCAGTCAGTTATAAACCAACATGTGCTAACAAGACCAGTGTCCAGTCTGTAATAAGCAAGCATGTGCTAACATGACCAGTGACCAGTCTGTAATAAGCCAACATGTGTCTAACTTGGCAAGTGACCAGTCTGTTATAAGCAAGCATGTGTCTAAAACAACCAGTGACCAGTCTGTAACAAGCAAGCATGTGCCAACATGACCAGTGACCAGTCTGTAACAAGCAAGCATGTGCTAACATGACCAGTGTCCAGTCTGTAATAAGTCAACATGTGCCTAACTTGGGAAGTGACCAGTCTGTAATAAGCAAGCATGTGCTAACATGACCAGTGTCCAGTCTGTAATAAGCAAGCATGTGCTAACATGACCAGTGACCAGTCTGTAATAAGCCAACATGTGTCTAACTTGGCAAGTGACCAGTCTGTAATAAGCAAGTATGTACTAACATGACCAGTGACCAGTCTGTAATAAGAAAGCACGTGCTAACATGACCAGTGTCAAGTCTGTAATAAGCAAGCATGTGCTAACATGACCAGTGTCTTATCTGTAATAAGTCAACATGTGTCTAACTTGGCAAGTGACCAGTCTGTAATAAGCAAGCATGTGCTAACATGACCAGTGACCAGTCTGTAATAAGCCAACATGTGTCTAACATAGCTATTGGTTATTGTATTTCTGATCGCAAAAACACATTAAGAAATGCATGAAGTTGCATGAAGCAATACTTTGTGATAAATTCTAAAACACCACAGTTTGCCAGCCCATCTAAATCCTTATCCATTTAACCCCTCGCAGACCTATAGATGTTCTGGCAACACAACATGACATTAATCACATTGATTGAGCAGTAAGTATCAAAATTTAAATACATTTCTATCACAAAACTTTTACTGTTAATGGTAAAATCTATTCACCGATTGGATTATCATTCTGTACAATTATTAAGATTCCATGCACCTAGTAATGAGGAAGTGTGAATGTGCTATTATATGGCTGTAAGACTAGAAATAATTTATTTTTCATTCAGTTTAATGTACAGATTGATTTTTCCCCACTTTCCTTTGGGACAAACTTTGCCTATTGCATTAAATGTCATGGAACCATATAAAATGAAAGCTGAAACCTGGTGATAATATAGTAATGACTACCGAATCTTCGGAGTGGATTTGCATTGATGAGTGGTAACCAGCTGTAACTTTGTGAACGATCTTTTACATCATTTCTCTTCTTGTGGTTGACAAAGACGCACAATATGCAAATAACATATACCCAGGTAATATACATATATATCACACACAAGATGTAATGAAATCTACTTCATTGTTTGGTGCTACCCTGCTCTGAAGATCATTATACCACAGTTACAACAGTCTGTAAATTAATTTTTATTTGAAATAACAAAAAAATAAAAAAAATATTCTCACACACATTGATTTGACAAAGTTAGAAAACAACTTGCCTAATTTATTTATATGAAAAACAACGAAATAAAAACAAATATGAAACAGAAACAGAAAAAACAATAACACAAGACAGGTTCTAGTTGACCTTCACAATCGCTATCATACACTACAAGTATAACATAGTTATACATACAGCATGTAAATAGAGTCATGTTACGAAGCAAAATCCGTATGAGAATGTAACAACAAAATTCTGATTCAAATAGACAGTAACACGAGGTTGTGAGCTTGTGGTGCATCGTAGTTACAAATTTAGACACTGAAAAAGTCTACTTTCAAATCAAAAATTTTTCAGTTGTTACCTTTCACATATAATGAAATGAATGAGAGTATTGGTTTGTCTAAATTCAACAACAAAAATTATTGTCAGATACTATTCTTATTAACTAAGTAATTGTCACATAGCAAGTTCAAACCTTGTTTGATACTTGAAAAATAATGATAAATTTTTTAAGTATATTTAACAACACTACACAAAAATGGGGGTCATTCAAAGAGAAAACTATTGAAGTATATAAAAAGGTCATCAAATGTATGAAATATGTCATTTTATCATGAGTACAATACACACTCTGTGCTATGAATGTAAGAGTCATTCAGCCATGGTTATCTTATCCATATATATACAGGGATGACCTCCATTTTTGTAGACCCTGACTGGTGACAAGACACATATAATAAGACACTTGTTTCACCTCATCTAAAATCATATGATAACATCATACTACACAGAGACTCATAGAACTGTACTAACAGGTGATTCAAACCATTGTGTGAGAAAGTAAAGGCATTTTATCTATTTATAGAACTGAAACGGCAACAATCAGTTTCACTTACCATAGACCTAAAAGAATGTCTTCCCAAACATAAATTCACAATAAAAAGAGGCCAACAAGACCTGTATCACTCATTTATTTCATTTACTATCTGAACTCTATCTGCAAAATTCATACCAAATGATCAAAAACCATTTTTCACTTTATAGTGACATCAATAACACTTGTTGATATCATGTTAGTATTTGATCTGCTGATACTGTGAAGTGATACCAGAGTCTCTGTTACTCAGAGGACTCAGAGGAAACCATCTGTTACTCAGAGGACTCAAAGGAAACCCTCTGTTTCTCAGAGGACTCAGAGGAAACCTGGCACAAAATATATTACCAGTAATCAAAGATGAAAATATGTCTATGTCTCAACAATGGAGAAATCTTTAAAATGCATAAAATGTAAATCAAGTCTCGCAATGACATCTGGTACAAGCTGTGGCTTTTAAAAATCATCGCTTAAGTTGGTCTCCTTGATGTAGCACTTAAAATTTCCACTAGAATGTTCTTGGCCTTTTTTCTCAACCATAAATATTCCTCAATAGTATATAAGATGAAATGGTGCTTTGTTTTCAAGGTTAAACATTTGTGAATAGATCTAATACTTCCATTTTAAGTCTACTTCATTACCTTGTATTTTGGTGTTTTGTTTATAGCAACACAAACAAACATTTCTGCGAAGGGCAAGTAAGCTAAAAATATGGACAGCGGGTTAATCAAGTATGAAAAGTGGCATGGTTCAGATCTAGGCTTAAACCAAATGCTGGACATCTTTAGAATCAGTGATCCTTTTAATAAAGTTGATGTAGTTAACAAACCTTCCACATGTAAGATTATAAACAATGGCAGACACTATTTCACTTTTTCCAGGATGGAGTAAAATAGTGACAATTGTAACAAGAACTCATGCCTGCTCCACAAAACTCTGAATAACTCATGTCTGCTCCACAAAACTCTCAATAACTCATGCCTGCTCCACAAAACTCACAATAACTCATGTCTACTCCACAAAACTCACAATAACTCATGTCTGCTCTATACAACTCTGAATAACTCATGTCTGATCCACAAAACTCTCAATAACTCATGTCTACTCCACAAAACTCACAATAACTCATGTCTGCTCTATACAACTCTGAATAACTCATGTCTGATCCACAAAACTCTCAATAACTCATGCCTGCTCCACAAAACTCACAATAACTCATGTCTACTCCACAAAACTCACAATAACTCATGTCTGCTCTATACAACTCTGAATAACTCATGTCTGATCCACAAAACTCTCAATAACTCATGTCTACTCCACAAAACTCACAATAACTCATGTCTGCTCTATACAACTCTGAATAACTCATGCCTGATCCACAAAACTCTCAATAACTCATGCCTGCTCCACTAAACTCCCAATTACTCATGTCTGCTCCACAAAACTCACAATAACTCATGTCTGCTCCATAAAACTCCTAATAACTCATGCCTGCTCCACTAAACTCCAAATAACTCATGACTGCTCCATAAAACTCCTAATAACTCATGTCTGCTCCATAAAACTCCTAATAACTCATGCCTGCTCCACTAAACTCCAAATAACTCATGCCTGCTCCACAAAACTCCCAACAACTCATGCCTGCTCTACTAAACTCACAATAACTCATGTCTGCTCCATAAAACTCACAATAACTCATGTATGCTCCACTAAACTCCTAATAACTCATGCTTGCTCCATAAAACTCTCAATACCTCTTTCCTGCTCCACAAAACTCTCAATACCTCTTTCCTGCTCCACAAAACTCTCAATAACTCATGCTTGATCCACAAAACTCCCACTAACTCATGCCTGACCACAAAACTCTCAATAAGCTTGCTTTATGGAGCAGGATTAGCCACTAACATTAATGATAAGAGTTTAAACAAAATATTGTTAACGCTGAAAAGAAATTAAACCTTCACAAAACCAAAAGGAAATCAATTTTCTTTTGAACAGTGTTTTAAATGCTTACCTATGACAGTAGTAGTCCCTAGAGGTGCCACTAATGAGGCCGGGGCAAATCCATAGGCAGAGAAGTTCCCGATCTCACCAAAACCCATCAAGGCAACACCCACCCACCACAGTGGATCTTTGGTGTAGTGTATGGCATCTACTCGCAGTTCATTTCTCATGTGAGCATATTTCTGTAAATAGTAAACTCTCATTATATATTTATTATAACTGACAGTCACACAGGTAATACATATTAGTCCTGAAGCTTGCTTCAACAGATAACAAGGTATATGTAGCATCTTGTAGTCAGCAGAAAATCCTTCTAACACAGGAACAAATTAATCTCATTATTTCATCACTATTTTGTCAATATTTTACCATTATTTACATGTCTTACTGGCATCAGGAGAAAACCTAGCTATTTATGTAAAATGTTCTTGTTGGGATTGTGATCACGAAATTAGTGACCTGATTTTTACACTGCAATGTTAAAAGTAACCAAAAATTCATATATTGAAGAGATTATATTGCGCCCGTTTAGAAGGTACATGTACCATGAAAATCAACTTAGAAATAAAATCTGCTTAGTGATGATGTTCTAATCCAACATGGTAGAAACATTAATCTATTCCAGAGGTAATGCTGGTTAGAATATACACCAAGTTTCATGACAAAAAATCAATTTTGGAAAAGAAATAAAGTCTTTACACACAGACGCTCATGGTAATGATACTAAAATTCCATTATTTTCACAATTCTTTTGACCACAGAAGGTGAAAACGCAACTTTGTATGAAAGTTATCTTTATAACTATAGTATACTATTTTCTTGCCAATCAAGACAAAAAATGACAACTGTAGACAAAACATCCTCTACTCATATTTGCAGCAACTTTTGACAGCCAACATTAAGTTTCATGACTGTGAGAGAAAAAAAACCCAAATAAATATGTATTCAATAATGATACCACATTTCCACAATATCAATGTTTACTGGTACAATGACCCTGTTTTTCATCCCAAATTTGCAAACATCCATGTGATGTTTGATGTGGAGATAATTGAAAATGAAGTTTCTATGTAATGAAGATGCATTTAGGGATATCTACACATGTGACAGGCAAAAAACTTGCTCATTTCATTGGATGGATATATTAATACTGGGCATAATTGTAACAAATAGATTATCTAATGTTTTTACAATATCCCTTTTTGTGTAGCTAATCTGGTTATGCTGAAAGCTAACAAGTATAAAAACATAGAGAATCAATGTCCTCAGCTTACAATACCAATTATAACAAAGGAAGTCTTCGTTACTGCATTAAATATTCATATATATTCACACTCGAGCAGAGCATTCCTATTATTCATATATCAGCAATGTCTTGATATAACCAGGCACAAATCAATGTATCAAATATACAGACAAAAAGTCACACACACACTTCCTTATAAAGGTACCAGTAACAAAATATATTTGTGATAAAATATACATTCACAGTGCAGGGCTCTCGATCTGCCAGATTTGGGGCCGAATATTCCCAATGCAAAATAGTATCTTTTTTCCCAATCTAGGCCCAAGTTTTTTCAATTCTAAGGAAAACGCCGCTATTTTTCCAAATTCTAAGGGTCCTGGGCCCCAGTCCCAAAATTGGGTGCGAGAGCCCTGCAGTGTTTCTTTTTATTTGATATTCTGCAAAAGAACTCTGTTTGTAAAAGACACTTTGAGTAACAGGGAAAAAAAACAAGAAAATGTGATTCTGTTTCAACAGTTTATGTATACATATCCTTTTTCAATACTTTCCATTGATAAATCTGGATAAACCAGATTGTGAAGCATTGTATTTTGTTTATACCTGAAGATTCAGAGACACGCTAATGAGAAGGTTTCCTCCAATAGCAAGCAGGCATCCAGCTAGCAAATTCTGTAAATATAAACAAGACATATTCAACATTTGATTGTAGGTGACATTATGCATATAATGCTAAACTTAACTCAAAATAGTAATTACATCAAAAGTTCATCATCAGAACTTTAACAAATGCTAATGTCACATTTGAGGACATTTTAGAACAGTCTATGAAAACTTACTGTGATTTTTCTTGTAATTGCTTATATGACCCATTTACCATTTTGGTCTATTGTGAAAAAACAAATTAAAACAGGAGAGTTTATAAGCATTACTAATAATGGTCAACATTGTGGGTTAAGTTTTACTACGATGTACAAAATATATCTTAATTTCAAAGACTAGTGTGCAATATACAAAGATCATATTGAAAATGCAAGTTTAAGGGACAGTACTGCAAACAATACAAATACTTTTAACTTGTGCATGATCAAAGTCTGATTTGTATTACCAAGAGGCCTAATGGGCTTGCATTGATCAAGTGTCAACTGTTCTTTGCAAACACAATTGTGACATACAAAGTTGATCAATGTCAGATTTGTTTGACAGTTACATACTTTTTAAAAGGAAGGCACATACATACATGGTATCAAAGTTCTATACCATTTCAGTTTTCTGGAAGTTGTTTGATAAATTGATCCCTGTGACCTTAACATTGTGTCAAGGTCACTTGTTTGAACAAACTTTGTCATTTCATCTAAGCATGTAAGTATGTAACCGATTCGATATCAGTCCCTGTGTCTCGTTGGTATTCAAAAGATTTTTGAAAGATTTAAACACTATGTGACCTTGAAGTTGGCCAAGATTATTCATTTGAGCAAACATAATAGCCCTTAATTCTAGCATGCCACAAGCTCTCTATCAGGACCCTGGACCTAGTTATAGAGAAGAGGTAGCTAAAAGATTTTAAAACATTTGATCCCTGTGACCTTGAATGTGGATCAAGGTCATTCGTTTGAAAGAGACTACTGAACTTCATCCCAGCAGGCGACATTATTCTGGGACATTGAGAAGTCATTTATATGGAAAAGTTGGCACCAGATAATACTCACAAGCAATAGATGAGATACAATTCATGCCAAAATATCAAATTTCAACCCTCAAAGATATAACAGTTACTGCACACAAAGTCAGACTGGGTTAATTCAAAGAAATAAGATATTTTTAAGACTGATACATTTGTGATGCATATCCAAAACCTCCTCCCCACCCCCTCAAACCTTTTCTTACATTATTTTGGGTACACCTTACTCATACACAAAACAGAAATACTCGTAACAAAATCCAAATCCTCCTACATCTCTAGAACTTGTGTCTGTCACTTACTTTGATAAATCTTATCCCAACAGTGCTTTTATGTAACATATGTACATCAAAATGGAGACACTGAAAGTTAAAACATCACATGTAAGCTGTAGGTTTACCTCTATGTTATTAATGCTGAATATCCACTCTGGGTTTTTCTCTAATCTGTCTGACTTCATTTTCGGCTTCCAACATTAATCAGTCTACACAGTCATTCTATCACCATCAATATTCAAATGAAGGCTTTAGATATTACACAACAATATCAGAACATGTTCATGCATAACGGCATGTTAAAATCATAAACCAGTACATCGTGATATCACATTGTTCAATGTACATACTGGGAAGTTTATATATATATATATATATGTGTGTTATACCTGTGTGCACATTGATATGTTTATTTAAGGTATTTTAAAGCTTACAATTAGTGTGCATTTTGAAAATAATTAGGTATAACACCATCAATTACCTTTTTTATTGATAAGTTTATTTAAGGTATTTTAAAGCTTACAATTAGTGTGCATTTTGAAAATAATTAGATTTGGTGTTACCGTCGAAAAGGGACTTCCGGTCAAGGTCTCTGATTCCTTCAGGGACCTCGGCGCGCCAGGTGGCGTCGTTGGTGGGGGCCGCTTTGACTCCGGAACTGTGCCTTCGGGTATAGGGTCAGGGGCCACAGACTTTTTGTCAGGATTGTCTGTGGCTACGGGGATTAGTGACACTTGAGTTCACTAATCCTGGTGTCAGCGCGGGGTCTGTTTTCCCACCCTCACAGACTTCTGGCTCTGGGACATTCCGTCCCTATCCAGATTTCCCAGTGCAGAGTTTCCCAGGGGGTTTTCCCCCAAGGGTTTGGGGCTTCAGGCCAGGAGTCCGGTTTCCGGTCTCCCTTTCCCCCGGGCTCAGGGAGTAGGGGTGCCTGCCGGCACTTATTCCTGGGTCGCCCAGGCCAACCTGCGGATGGTTTTGGGTACCAACAGTTACTCAGCAGTTACGGGCTTAGCCCGTACATGTCTGGGTTTCCACCTGGTGGGAGTGGCGGTTCATCCTGGTCCTTTGGACAGGGTGTCCAGCCCCAGACTCAGGCAGGCCATCTTGGCCAGTTCTGGGGTCACTCCCGGCCCGCTGGACCGTTCCCATTCCCTCAGGGGTTTGGGTTTTTACCCCATGGGTCTTCACTCGTGGAACCCATAGGGGTTGGTCTCTCCTCTAGGAGATGTTAAAGCAGTGCGGAATCCCCCCAATGTTCTGCTACTTCGGGGGCCTTGTTGGCCGGTCCTATAAAGGTTTGCCAGACCTTAAGGACTTCCGCCTCCAGCGCGGACCCGTCGGTCTCCTGTTCCCAGGGGTCGGCTTCGGGTCTCCGACCCAAGCCTACAGCTACGGCTGTTGGTCGCGCTGCGTCCAAATGCCATAAAGAGGAGTTCCCCTCTGCGGAGATGGCTCCTCTGGCGGCCCCTGTTCCTCCCAAGGGGACTTCGGTCTCTATTGAAGAGGAGATGGACATCAAGGGTGCGGGCTCGGCAGAGGAAGACGATGTCATACATCTTTCTCCTGGGCCAAGAGGGTTCACAAGGGGAAGATGGCCCTGAGACTGCTGAAGCCGAGGCTCAGCATGTGCTTTCTGGGATGCGGGTCCTCCGGGCCAACATCTCCCGGATTCTCAGGGCGGAGGTTTGCCCACCGCCTCAGCATCGTCGGCGCCTGAATCCACCATCCTTCTGGGTTCCCTGGTGGCTCCTCGGGCTTCCGTTCGCTCAGATCGGTCTCTGCCAGAAGGCAATATCATGTCTTCGGTTCTGGCCACGGCCCGGGCTCCGGTTTTAGAGAAGGACTCCTTCTCTACCCGTGCTCCCGGGTTTGTCGGTCTGCAGCTCAGTGTTGTGAATTGTCGGAGGCTTCAACTTCCGACTATGCCACACATGATGGGCAGCTGGCCTCTCAACCAGCACAGCTGGAGTTGAGACAGCTGGCTGCCTGGCCCGGCAAATCAGTGGACCAGGTGGTGCTCGATCCCAAAGAGCACCACAGGATGGAGAGAATGTTGCACCTCTCCATCCAAGTTCTGTCATACATAGACGTCCTGACAGTTTGTCTATACAGGGTATCCGATTTGCCTGAGTGTCGGTTATCCGAGACAGAACAGCCGACATACAGGACACGGCAACCTTGCAGGTTCTCTGCTCGTCAATGCCGTGTTGGCTAGGCAGTTTTCAGTTCTGAAAATCCGCCCAGTCCAGTAACCCTACCGTTTCCGCTTGTTGAATGCCCCCTTCTAGGGCTCTACCCTGTTCAGGGGAGCTCTTCCTTGGGTTCAGAAGGATATGAAGGAGGACTCGGTCATCTCAGCACTTCTGGTGAAGAGGTTTCAGGCTGAGAAGGCCAGTGCCTCGCAGGGGTCAGTGCCTCCTAAGAAGAAGGCGAAGTCTTCGGCTGCTCAGTTTTCTGCACAGCCCAAGTCCCAACCTCACTTCAACGGCAACAAGTGGAAGGGTAGGAAGGGTAAGAAACCTCCTGGGGGCAAGAAGAAGGGTTCCTGACTATTTCTGCTTCTTGGCCGCGAAAGGCGAAGGGTATGGCCGGGTGGACGGTGGTTCTCCTTTCCCGGGCTCATGTCCTTCTCCCGCAGGCTCAGGCTCCGGGTGGGCAGACGATTCTCTGGTCTGGCAGGGGCTCAATCTGCCCCATCCGGAACTCCCTGTGGGCGGACGTCTCTCTGCTTTCCTTTCCCAGTGGCAGGATATTACAGATGACGCTTGGGCTTTTGTCGGTGGTCAGGGAGGGTCTAGGTATTCCCCTTCTTCAGGATTCGTCCCTCGCCTCCTGGCCGTTTTTGTTTCTTTCCTCCTCCCAGGGATTCAGAAAGGGCACGGGTGCTCCAGGAGGAAGTAGGGACCATGCTGCCAAGGCAGAGATGCCCTTGGGGCTCACGACAGCTCCTTTGGTGTTCACCAAGTTGCTGCTGGTGTTTCCTTCACTCACGCAGATAGACGTCCACATCTATTTCGACGACTCCCTCATGCCTCTTTTGGTGTGGGAATCGTTAGTGAAGGACACTCGTCTGGTCCTGAAACTCTTGCTCAGAGTCGGCTTCATTCCTTCCAGAGAGAAGTCAGAGGTTCCTTCATATTAGGACTTCTTCTTCCTGGGGAACCATTTTGACATGGTTCGGGGCTTAGCCCTTCCACCTCTGGAGAAGTTTGAGAAGGTCAGGGCTCTGGCTCTGACTTTCATCACTTGGTCGCTTGTCCAGGTACATTGGTTCCTCAGTTTTCTGGGGTATCTCAACTCCTTGGCATATGTGGTCCCCCTAGGGAGGATTCACATCGACCTCT